ACGCGCGCACACACACACACATATATATATAACACGCGCACACACACACACATATATCACACGCGCACACACACATATATCACACACGCACACACACACACATATATATAACACATGCGTACACACACACATATATATAAAACAGCATTCTCTGTCACACGCCTCATCACCCAGATTCAATTGTTAACATTTCTGATCAAATTAAGTTGCATAACCAAAGAATACTAACAGTTTTTTATAAAAGAATAAGTTGCAGCCGGGCACAGTGGCTCATGCCTGTAATCCAAGCACTTTCGGAAGCTGAGGCGGGGTGGATCACCTGAGGTTGGGAGTTCAAGACCAGCCTGACCAACACGGAGAAACCCTGTCTCTACTAAAAATACGAAATTAGCCAGGCATGGTGGCGCATGTCTGTAATCCCAGCTACTTGGGCGGCTGAGGCAGGAGAATGGCTTGAACCCAGGAGGCGGAGGTTGCAGTGAGCCGAGATCACACCATTGCACTCCAGCCTGGGTAACAAGAGTGAAACTCCGTCTCAAAAAAAAAAAAAAGTTGCAGACTTGATGCCTTACTAAATAAAATAAAACATTTCATTATTTTATTCAGTGTAGGTTCCCTAAATGTAAGGTTATGAGCTCTGTGTAACTACAAAACCTGGACTTCAATGGTGATCCAACATAACCATCTAATTCCACTGGCCTCATTCATATTTTGCTTATCATATTGTTATTCTTAAGTGTGCTTCTGAATTATTTCTAGAAATGAAAATAGAGGTCAAAGAGAGAAAATGATTTGAGATACAGTATTTCATTCAAGCAAGGTCAACATCTAAGAATCACCTCAGTGGGTAAAATGAGTAAAACAAATTCAAAGACTTGAAAGGAGGTTGGGCATGGTGGCTCACACCTGTAATCCCAGCACTTTGGGAGACCGAGGCGGACAGATCACTTGAGGCCAGGAGTTCAAGACCAGCCTGGCCAACATGGTGAAACCTCGTCTCCATTAAAAATACAAAAATTAGTCAGGCGCGGTAGTGTGTGCTTCTACTCCCAGCTACCTGGGAAGCTGAGGCGGGAGAATCACTTGAACATGGCAGGTGGAGGTTGCAGTGAGCCAAGATCATGCCACTGCACTCCAGCCTGGTGACAGAGCAAGACTCTGTCTCAAAAAAAAAAAAAAAAAAAAAAAAAAAGAAAAGAAAAAAACAACAACAAAATATTTTAAGAACCTAAAATCTATTTATCCTCTCACATTATAGTGGAAAAATACCTATTCTGCCAAAATATAAGATATGAACTAAATATTAGAAAAAAGCAGCTTTAAGAAGAATCAAAGTGGATCCCCCCTTGGCACATTTAGAATGGAAAAGAGATCACAGCATTTGCTTCCCTGTTAATTGGGGGACATTTAGTCTATCTAAATATTGTTGAATGAATGAATTCTACTGCCCCTTCCTTAAAGAAAAGGGACCTTACGGCTCCAAGCTAAGAAATACTCATGCAGAGATAACCTCTGTGTATGTGTATGTGTGTGTGTGTGTTAGGGTCTTGCTCTGTCACCAAGGCTGGAGTGCAGTGGCACGATCTCGGCTCACTGCAACCTCCACCTCCTGGGTTCAAGGGGTTCTCCTGCCTCAGCCTCCTGAGTATCTGGGATTATAGGGGTGCTACCACCAACCCTGGCTGAGATAACCTTTCTTTTAAAAAGTTTTTAAAAACCCAGGGGGTTGAGGTTGATTTTAGACCATTTGTAGCAGAGTCCTGTGCAGGATCTGATAAAAATTGTATTTGACAACTTCAGTGGAGTTAAAATACTATTACATTAACAAAGAGTTTTTAATGACAAAAGGAAATGGTTGAGATGTCATCTTACAGTGTTAAACAAACAAAAAAAAAAACCCAACCTAACATTTAAAAAACACGAAAGATACAAAATTACATATATAATAATATTTTAAAAGATAGAAATAAATCTGGGAAGTTATAGATCAAAATGTTGTCTCAAGATGGCGGGTTTTGTGAGTGATTTGTAAATTTCGCCCTCTACCCCCTTCTCTGTTTTCTCAATTTTCTTCTATGATCATGCATAGCTTATATAAGAAGAAGAAAATTAAGGTAAGGAAAAGGTCAGTGGTATTAGAAAGTCCTTCCCTTATCCCCCTTCTCTTGCCCAGGAGAGGATGAGTGTGTTGGAAACTAGAGAGTGTCATGCTGGTGGTGCTGTGTCCCAGGAAAGGGCCACTTCTGGCAGATGTGGTGGCTCATGCCTGTAATCCCAGCACTTTCGGAAGCCAAGATGGGAGGACTGCTTGAGTCCAGGAGTTCGAGACCAACCTGGGCAACATAGTGAGACCCCCACTGCTGTTTGTTTTTAAAAATTAAATTAAAAAAAAAGGACACTTTCTTCCCATACCTTGCTGTGAAGATCAATGCAATTATCATGCTGAGAATGACAATGGCAGCGATGGTGCCCACAATAGTGAGGATCAGCTGAAAATCTGAAAGGGAGAAGAACATAAGAACAGCCCCCAACAAGCTGACCTCCAACTGTCTACTGCACAGGTATGTGTGTTCCGGGGACTCCCAGCTGTGAGGACCATCAGGCTCTGGTCTCCAACCCTCCAGGCTAGGTTGGGTAAATGGCCTATTTCCTTTAGCATCCCCTCCTCACACCTCCTAAACTGTCTTCAGCATGCAATGGGAAAGGGCAGCCTTGCCAGACAAAAGACTGTAAATACAAAGGAGGCCGATGGTGGCAGGATCTTCATGGCCTTGGTGGGGAGTGGGGTCTCAATCAACGGCCACACCTCCCTCCTTACCTCTGCTGCTTTTGCCTGCCCTCTATACCTCGACTTACTGGTAAGCTAAAGAAATTAGGTTGGAGTTAAATGTCACTGCTAGAGGAGTCAGCCAATGGCTTGATAATTTCAATGAGGGAAGAGTCTAGACATTCATTATCACCCATTTTCTTCTCCTAACTCGGCCTTGGCTGGCACTGTTGACACGTGACTGCAGCTATGAGACACAATGTAACAGACACACCAGATTGCAAACACTTTGTGTTTGTGTGAAAAAAATGTGAAATAATTGGTTAATCATTTTTTTATTGATTCTACGTTAAAATAATATTTTGGATATATGGGTTAAATAAAATATGTTCTTAAAACCAATGTCATCTTTTTACTTTTAGCAATTTACTTGAAATTTCTAAAATTTCGAATAAAATGTGTAGCTCACATATTTCTACTGGGCAATGCTGCTCTAGACCTCTTTGTCTCTTCCTTCTATGTGACTCCCACAAATGCCACCTTTAACGTGGATTCATGGGGCCAGACTAGCAAGTCTGGGAAAGATCTTGAAGTTTGTCTGGTCCAAACCTCTCATTTTATAGGCGTGGAAACTGAAAACTCCAAAGGAAGACTTAGCAAATTATTCCTTGCAATAAAATACAGTAGAAATGGTGAATGTCACCCATCACTATCTTCATGGCTGGCAGGAAGACTGACAGTAATATTTCCTCCACCTTGGATCTTTAGTTCATTATGTAGATTTTTAAATATAAAATAATTGAAAATCTAAAGTTAGTATTTCTTAATCTGGTGGGGGTGGGGCATGGGAGGGAACAGAATTTGAATTTGCAGCAAAATATCCCAAACCAGTAAATAGCTCTGAGACAAAAGGATTTGAGTATTTAAATGTCTGGTTTCTAGGTCTGCTCTTCCATAACCACCAGAATTGTTGAAATGTACTTGTCTTTTATCTCTAGTAGCAGCAGATAATACATACGTAAGCTAATGTAGGAAATCAACATAATGCTAAGACTCCCTCCTCTTGTCTCAAGCAAGTCCAATGGCACCAGCCCACTCCTGGGCTGCAGTCTGTTATTTTCTATGGCGGAGGGGCTGCTGTCCATAACCTAAGGGTGGGCATGGCAGTGCAGGACCCAGAATACCAACTGGAGGCAGATAGTTCTCTCTTTATGAAACAGGACAGAGACTTTGAAGGACTGGGCAGGATATAGAATGTGGTCACTGTTGATTTCTCAGATGCTTAATAACTTGTTTATAACAGCAAGACTTTCATACTCACTGTCCTCACAGTCGAGTCCGCTGTAGCCAAATGCACACCTGAAATACAGTGAGCGATAGGAAACAGTGTTCAAGAGCCCCTGTGGGGAGCACGTCAGAGTCCCCACCCCAGTCTCCACATCGTCCTTTCCACCTTCCTTTCATTCTGTCCTCCCTTGCTTCCTTTCCCCTTTCTTTTGTCATCCTTACACCCTCCTTCTTCCAGGAGACCACTGTCCACAGGGTTCTGGAAGGGTAAGGGGGGTACGCCATTCCACGTAGGCTCATTTGCTACTGAATGAACACTCCATCTTCCGTGCTCCAGGAAGAATCTGCAGTTCAGGTAAAGCTGAACCCAAGAGGCCAGGAGGGTAGTGGAACCCTCTCAGGCTGCGGTGCCATATGGCTCTGCCACTTGTTTGCTGTCCTGTGAGCTGGGGGATATTTCCTTTCAGTTCAGTTTCCTCACCTGAAAATGGGAAACTAAGACATTCCGGATGGTGTTGCTGTGCGACAGGGATTACCTAGTGTGTTTCCTGGAGCATAGAGAATGCTCGAAAACAATGATGACGACGACACTCTGTCTCTACCAACCTAAGCCAGCTTACCAACTTCCTGACTCAACACCTGTTACGTGTTGCAAGGCCTATCTTCTTTGCCTAGCTCCAGCTATGGCGAGACAAACACAAGTGACTTTCTTACTTTTGGCAGTTCCCGTTAGCATCTGCCTGGTAGCCCGGCACGCACACACACTCAGGGTCCGCGCCCGTCTTCTTTACTAAGCATTGCTTGTGCTCTGCGTTGCAGGTATCAGGACACTTTAGACTGGAAGCTTCAAAACAGGATGATTTCTTGGTAATTTTCAGAAACAATCTCTTTAACCCCAAAGTCACATGTGACAATATGACAGTGTTTTTCACATTGCTTTTTCTAGGTAAAGGAGATGCTGATGGACGTGCCCCCTGTGAAGCTGACCTGGGTTAGCCAAGGTCCCAGCCTTGGTCCGTATGTCTAAAGTCAGAAGTCGTGTCACTTGGACTCTGAAATGAATGTGGAAACTTAAGCAAAAGGAGAGAAAGAGGGAGTTGTGAAGAACATTTAGAAGCAGGTGAAATACTTACCAACACAGAAAGGGCTCTGTGGGTTAGGCCTTAGCAGGTCGGATTTGCATTCACATGCTAAACTATTGATGCATTCATCCGCAGCCTTCTTACAACCGTAATAATCACAGCGAACGATCACTGAGAAGCACAAATGATTTTAAAAAGTAGTTAGCATAACAATATGGATAAGGTAATTTGTGAAAATTACCCCACCTCGTTGCTGTTATACTTTGCCTTTTAATAAGTTTTGGGGCCAGGTGCAGTGGCTCACTGTAATCCCAGCACTTTAGAAGGCCTAGGCAGGAGGATCGTTGGAGCCCAGGGGTTCAAGACCAGCCTGGGTAACACAGTGAAACCCCATCTCTACAAAAAATTTAAAAGTTAGCGGGGCATGGTGGCAAGTTCTGTAGTCCCAGCTACTCAGGAGGCTGGAGTGGGAGGATCACTTGAGCCCAGAAGTTCAAGGTTACAGTGAGCCGTGATCACACCACTGCACTCCAGCCTGAGAACAGTGAGAGCTTGCATCAAAATATAAATAAAAGTAAATAAGGAAATAAAAATGGATTGGAAGGCATTAGGGTTAAAAGATGAGTCTGGGCTGGGCGTGGTGGCTTACTCCTGTAATCTTAGCACTTTGGGAGGCCAAGGAGGGTGGATCACAAGTCAGGAGTTTGAGAGGAGCCTGGCCAACATGGTCAAACCCTGTCTCTACTAAAAATACAAAAATTAGCTGGGCATGGTGGTGCATGCCTGTAGTCCCAGCTACTTAGGAGGCTGAGGCAGGAGAACTGCTTGAACCCAGGAGGCGGTCGTTGCAGTGAGCCAAGATCACACCATTGCACTACAGCTCTGGGTGACAGAGCAAGATTCCATCTCCAGGGGGTGGAGGGTGGGGGTGGAGTGGGGGGAGATGAGTCTGAGAATGGATTATGGGGAAAGAATAGGAGTAGGTAGAGTGATATGGCTCCTCTCTACTAAACATCCCAAACTGTAACTAAGCCTCCATCCTCCTACCACATGCAAATACCTCTAATTAAAAGCCTAGAGCAAGAGATTCTTCAATTTGGGACAGAGAAAACAATCTATTTGCAACACTGAAGCTGGAGAACAGGAAAAAGTATTTTCCGGCCAGGCATGGTGGCTCACACCTATAATCCCAGCACTTTGGGAGGCCAAGGCGAGCAGATCACCTGAGATCAGGAGTTCAAGACCAGCCTGGCCAAAATGGCAAAAACCGTCTCTACTAAAAATATAAAAATTAGCCGGGCATGGTGGTGCGTGCCTATAATTCTAGCTACTCGGGAGGCTGAGGCAAGAGAATTGCTTGAACCCGGGAGTTGGAGTTTGTGGTGAGCCGAGATCACCACACTGCACTCCAGCCTGGGCAACAGCATGAGACCCTGTCTAAAAAAAAAAGAAGAAAGAAAAAAAGCAAACATTTAAGAGATGAAAGAAGGAGTCTTAGAAGGAGCAAAAAGAAGGGTGAGGGAGGCAGGAAGGCGATTAGGAGAATGGTAGATGGGGGCCCAGGAAGAAGGTAATACCAAGTAGGGAAGGATACTGTGTCAAATGCTATAGAAAGGTCAAATAAGCTGTGGCTCAACAGAGGATTCTGGATTTGGCAAGCAGGACTGAGAACCAGCTGTAAACACCTCTTCCTGGGACTGGCCCCGATGGGTTGCTCCTGGGGTGAGGAGCTTCTGGTGACCGCTGTGGTGGGCTGACTGCAGTCATGACATCCATTTATTCACACCTTTCTGTACCCCTTCTGCAGGGCCCTTCCATGCTGTGCTTGGTCATGTGAATTGCTTTAGCCAACTGGACAGTTATAACTGTGATGCAAGCAGAGACTTGAGAAACACTTGTGCATTGACTCTAGGAGCCTGGAGCTAATCAGAATGAGAACAAGTCATGGGAAACCTGAAATGGGAAACTGTCACTTTCTATAGGACAGCAAGAGTAGGTCTTGCTGAGCTATTAAATCTCAGACTGGTTCTTTGAGAGAGACAGAGGGGTGCATGTCCCTCCCTGTGCATGGAGAAAGCAGTAACCAGCCATAGAGAGCCCGGATCACTCCCAGAAAGGACCAGGAAGTCCTCTTGCTGCTCTTGAAATCCTCTGGATGGGTCTGGTAAGGATAAGAGACCACGTGGAGCAGAGACAAACAATTTAGCTGACCCAGCAGCTAATGGCAGATACTTAAGTGAGCCCAGCAGAGATCAGTTAAGCCTGGCCCAGATCAGCAGACTATCCAGTTAAGCCCAGCCCAAATTCAGACCCATAGAGTTCTAGGGTTGCAATAAGTAAATGGTGGATGTTTTAGGCCACTACCGTTGTAACACAGCAAACGCAAATTGCTACAGCTACATGGTGGGCTTGTGTGTCAGTCTAAAGGGGAAAATAGTACAGGTAAAGCTCGGTCTTGCTCTATCACCTAGGCTGTAGTGTGGTGTCGTGATCTCAGCTCACTGCAGTCTCAACCTCCTGGACCCAAGCAATGCTCCCAACTCAGCCTCCCAAGTAGCTGAGACCACAGACCTGCACCACTACACCCAGCTAATTTTTTGTATTTTTTGTAGAGACAGGGTTTTGCCATGTTGCCCAGGCTGGTCTCAAACTCCTCTGATCAAAGAATCTGCCCATCTTAGCCTTCCAAAGTGCTGGGATTATAGGAGTGAGCCACTGTGCCCAGCCATGGATAAAACTTCAGGTAATTGTTTGTAAAGCTCTAACTCGGTACAAAGCCCTGTTGTTTCTCCTTTTTCTCTCCCTGGCCAGCAGTGATTTGTCTGGTTATTTATGCCTTCCTAGAGAGGAACACCCTGGTCAGTTTGATGATTTGGGAGATGGTTGGAAAGAAGCAGATGGCAAGTGAGCAGGAAAAGGGAAGAAGAATTGGTTAAAAGGAAATTTGGACACATTTGTTAGTTCAATAATGTAGTTCTTGTTCTTGGCCCCTTTTCACATAGAATGAAAATGTTTACAAAAAACTTGGAATAAAATTATACAATACTTACAATTATACTTTTGAATGTTTCCTGAGTTACTTCTAATTGCGTTTTCAATCATTTTAGCCACACTCTCCTCATTTTCATTTGTGGCTTCTGTCAAAATTGTTACTGTTGTTACATTAACAACCAGGTCACCAGCACGCATTTCAGATCTTGCTGACGGAGGTGTGCTAAAAGTGAAATACATCTGTCATTAATGAACTGAACTAAGAATCAACAAATAAGTCTTCCTACCTCCCAGACTCTTGAATGTCTTGGCCCTTGTCCTGACCTGCTGTCCTGTCCCTACAACTGGGGCCCACATATGGAGGCTGGGGCTGCCAAAAGATGGCAATGCATAGGCTTGGAGGTCTGTATTTGATGTGTATTCAGGGGAAGCCTATGGTGAAAACAGTGTTCTGTTGGAGAAAACATAGGAAAATTGTGGATAATGATTTTTTGAAAAATTGCAAAACATTATTTTAAGGATCTAGGAGCCTGAAGCTAACCAGAATTAGAACAAGTAACATCTGAAATGGGAAATTGTCACTTTCTACAGGACAGCAAGAGTAGGTCTCGCTGAGCTGTTAAATCTCAGACTGGTTCTTTGAGAAAGTCAGAGGGGCCCGTGTCCTTCCCTGCGCATGGAGAAAGCAGTAACCAGCCATAGAGAGCCTGGATCACTCCCAGAAATGACCAGGAAGTCAGTAGGCAGCTTCAGAGTGGGAATATGATTGGGCCTGGACACACATGACCTAAAGGAGAACTGGCACAAAGAGGACTGGGGCTGCTGGAAATATGAGCATGTACTACCAGATCCTACAGGCAATATGAAGGGCCTGCCATGAGTAAGACAAGAGACATCAGTCTCTATCTCTATCTCTATCTCCATCTCTGTCTCTCTCTCTCTTTCTCATCAGCACTGCAGTTCAGAGCCCTAAGCACAGCTGTGCCAAGTTCAATTATTTCACTGTCCAAAAAGAATCAAGTGATACAATCACTGAGATAGGGGGAAAGGACTTTTAAAAACTTCTTCATTATCTGATGTGTGGCTCTGTGCTTTTAAGCCTCAGGATATATTTTGCTGTCTAAATTTTTTTTTTATATTCCTTTTGACTTTTTTTTTTTTTTTCGAGACAGGGTCTTGCTCTGTCACCAGGCTGGAGTGAGGTGGTGGAGTGCTTACTGCAGTCTTGACCTCCCGGGCTCAGCTGATCCTGCCACCTCAGTGTCCCAAGTAGCTGGGACCACAGGCACACCCCACCCTGCCCAGCTCATGTTTCGTTTTGACTCTCAAATAAATGCAGAAGCCTAAAAATATAGCCAACCTCCTTAGGAAATGTTTGCATCCATCTTGGGTCCTCAGAACAATCGAGAAAATCCAAGATATGAATGAAATTCAACTTTTAGGGACAAAAGGGAGTCCAAAAAATGAAATGGGCTTCAGCATTATAATTTAATATATATATATTTTTTGAGACAGAGTCTTGCTCTGTTGCCCAAGTTACAGTGCAGTGGCGCAATATCTGCTCACTGTAACCTCCACCTCCTGGGTTCCAGTGATTCTCCTGCCTCAGCCTCCTGAGTAGCTGGGCTTACAGGTGCCTGCCACCGCACTCGGCTAATTTTTGTGTTTTTAGTAGAGACAGGGTTTCACTGTCTTGGCCAGGCTGGTATCGAACTCTTGACCTGGTGATCCACTCACCTTGGCCTCCCAAAGTGCTGGGATTACAAGCATCAGCCACTGCGCCCGGCCCAATAATTTAATATTTTCTGCCATAATTCATTCATGACAGGATTTGGTGTGGGGAGGGTGGGTGGCAGTGGAATGTAAAAGGCAGTGAGACAGGTGTACTTGATAAAAATTATTCTATGTTGGTTGAAATATATGGCATAGCTTTGCACTGGGGCTAGGAAAGCAAATGCCATCCATAATTTCTTCATTTAGAGAACCTACTAGTTTATATTCTAATTCAGGAGGCAAGACATTACACCTGTGGAACAGTTAAAGGGAATATTGGAGCCACTGTGCACTTGAGTATAAATTACTAGGGCACTGGGCTTGGAGTTAAGACGTGAGGTCCAGACCCAAGCCTGCCACTATTTGTCCATTTGTGGCCCAAGATCAGTCAGCTTCTCTGGGCCTGAGTTTCTTCCTCTGTCCAAAGAGAGGTTTTAAAGAGAAATTCTTAGGATCCTTCCAATTCCAACGTTGCTACAGTAGGAAAGAGCTTGGAGAGTCAGAGGGGAGAGAGAATTTTGGGCTGGAGCCTAAGAAATGCCTTTCTAGGTGAGCCCCAGTTGCATTTGCCCTGCAGAGGCCCCTGAGGTGGGGGAAGTAGTTCCCTCCATGCCTCTGAGCTCACAGGTGAAGGTTTGCCTCCAAACACCCTTGGCTCCCTTTCAGTAACTCCTTAAGAATCAAAGGAGTGCCACAGTTTTGGGGATACCCCAAATGACCCTGTGGGACCAGCTCTCCATCATACTGCAGGTCCCTGGTGTCGAAATCAGCTATGTGCCAGGCACTGCATACAGGGAATCTTCCAAATGTTACCTCAGTTACTCCTCCTAAGGCCCCAGGGAAGTTGATCAGATTGTCCCAATTATACCAATGCAGTGACACATGTTCAGAGAGGTTAGAACACCTGCCTGGTCACTCAGGGAGGAATTGCCAAGGCCAGGATTCAAGCACAGCTTTGGCTGACTCCATTCCAACCTCACCATTCCTGTTTGTATCGAGGCATCACCTACACATGAACTGGCTGTTGTCCACTAAACCAAACCTAAGCCCCAGAAACAATTCATAGTCCTCTGGCAGCTGTCTGCTGTACACCTCCATCTTCAGAGCCTCTCCTTTTGGGCCCAACCTGTCTGCTGACTGCCAGCCTTCTACCATATAAACTGTGCCTCTTCACTGCCAACCAGACTTGCCCCTCATTCAAGACCAAGCTGGAAACCCATCACTTTTAAAAGGCCTCTCTGAAATGTTATATACATATATACACACATACACCCTCTCTCTTTTTATCTTATTCCACAAAGATTTTTAAAAGATTTTTTTTGTAGAGATGTAGTGTCACTGTGTTGCTCAGGGTGGTCTTGAACTTCTGGCCTCAAGTGATCCTCCCATTTCAGTGTCCCAAAGCACTAGGATTACAGGTGTGAGCCACAAAGGATTTGATATGGTTTATAAGGATAAATACAATAGTAAGACTTAAGATGTAAATAGTGCATTGCTACATGAGGGCCGCTTTTCTTACCTAACTCCGTTTGTCTTACAGCATTCTTTCCTCAGCCTGAGTATGTGTGTATTAATGTGCTTCAGGGGAGGCTGAGATGGAATTGCTTTTTGCCTCTTTATGTCCCTAAATAACACCCAGCCCTTGCCATTACATATCGAAGTGCTCAATAAGTGCTTGTTCTCACTGCAGAAAGAGCTTACCACTGACCCTTCTGTAGCCAGATGTGTGATTTGGGTGTTCTTGTCCCCATCACACTTGCCATATGAGGAAGAGATGATCATGGGCCATTCAATCTGCCCCTGGTCTGCTGGAATGCACACTCCAGGGATTGACTAGGTATGGTTTGCAGCCATAGGATCAAGCCAAACAAAGAGATCCCGATGATGCAGATGATGTCCTGGACCATGTGCACAAGTTGCTGCACAGCCAATCACAGACAGAATCTTGTCTTTCCCAGGCCATATACCACCCAGAGTTGGTGTGACATCAGAGGCAGGGCCAAGGCACACCGTCCCCTTTGCAGTGCTCAGCCTGAGACTGACCCTCTCCTCCTAACTTGTGACTTGCCACAGAGGGCCTTAATGTTACATGCAGACCTCAAGAGAAGCTCAGAAGTTAGACTGACACACATCTGCCTCCAAAGTACCCCAGCAGTCCATAGCAAACTTACCTTACAGCAAGAATTACAGTCTGTCCATAAGCAGATGTGCCAAATACATTTTCAAACTGTGGAGGAGAACAGATTTAGTAACAAGTAAAAAGCAAAATTTTTTTAACATTTTCTATAAATCAAATGGGGCAGAAAAAAATGATGCTCTATCTAGCTTTTAACAGGATCCAGCTGGGTAGAAAATGGACCCCAGAGACTTCTTACGACCTGAGCCAGGACCGCCCCCACATAGGCTGCTAAGAGGCCCTGGAAGAAAGTAAGTTGTCTCTATTTTCCTAACTCGAGTGGTTGCGAGCGAGTTCTGGTGGATCCCTTTTGGATCAGGAATCTCCCAGAAACTCTAAGAATGCTTCATCCCCTCACTGGTTCCCCTAGGAACATCAAGTCGTGACTGAGATCAAGTCTTTAATCTAATCTCTGAAGACCAGGGCACAAGGCCTGTAACTGGAGGGGGCTTTTGTGACACTCACACTCAAAGACAAGTTTGGGGAATGTAGTGCTAAGTGACCATTGCTCAGTAAAGCCACATGAAGCACTTCAGAGGTTTCCTGGAAGTAGGACTGCATCGACGTTGCTGTCTTCAGTGTACTGAATAGCACGAGCTGGCAAATTTGAATGCAGATCCGAGATGAGAGGGCAAGTCACTGCCAGCTGGCCCACGGGGCAGAGGTGACATGGCAAAGGGGCAGGGCAAACTCTGTGACACAGCAGCCATGGATTCTATCCTGGCACTGCCATGTACTGGCTGGCTGTGTGGTCAGAAGCACTCTCTCTCGCTGCACCTTCTGCAAAATCATTTCCCTGACACGTGTTTTCCATGTTACCAGTTCTAATAGTGACACAATTTCAAATTGAGAGACACAGACCTTGTCATAGAATAGACTTTAGCTTTAAAAAAAAGTCTCTCCACCTCTACTACTTGTTTTTTTCTTTTTTCTTTTTTTTTGAGACAGATTCTCACTCTATCACCCGGGCTGGCGTGTAGTAGCACAATCTTGGCTCACTGCAACCTCTGCCTCCTGGGTTCAAGCAATTCTCCTGCCTCAGCCTCCCAAATAGCTAGGGTCACAGGTCCCTGCCACCATGACTGGCTATTTTTTTTTTTTTTTTGTATTTTTAG